GGAAACCTCAGATGGTCCTCATTTAAGCTGCCGCCAGCAAAGATGAGAAAAGAGTCCATTCAAGGGTTAATTGATCCCACGCCACCCTGCGAGGGAAGACCCCGAAGGGGGCATGGGGGGGGCATTGTCGGACCCTTTAAGTCTCCCCCCGTGCCCTGAGCCATGACGACCCTGCGAGGCAGGCCAAGCGAAGGGAGCCTGAGGAGCGCTTCACCCACTGAAACCGGCCTCATGACAGCCCTGCCAGGTAGGCCTTGGGCCCCAACGTAACTTTTAAGAGCTCTCCCCACCTCTTTCTCTCTCACGACAACCCTGCCAAGTAGGATTCGGGGCCCGAGGTAACTTTTAAGAGCCCTTCCTGCCTCTTTCGCCCTCACGACAACCCTGCCAGGTAGGCCTTGGGCCCCTGAGGTAACTTTAAGTCCCTCCCCGCCTCTTTCTCCCTCACACCAGCCCTGCCAGGTAGGCCGCCTGAGGCGTCTTTCCGGCCTCCCTCCCTCCCGCCGGCCGAGGGACCCACCCCCGACGCAGGCGAGGGCCGCCTTGAAAGCGCAGCTCTCCATGGCCCGCTCCACCATCTTTTGCTCAGGGCTCTTGGGCGGCGTCGGGAAGCCTCCAAGGATGGCCGGGTCGAAGCTCTGCGCCGGCCTCGGCCCCCGCTTCTCTCCCACCAAGTAGGCGAGCAGGAGGCTGTACTGTAGCGCCGGGGGCTCTTCGGGGCCCTTCCCGCCTTCTTGGGGTCCCGTCGGGCCTGAGGAAGAGGCCGCCGCCATGATTCTCTTTCTAATGCCCCCCTCAGAAAAGAGAAACTGCGACCCCCAGCATGCCTTGCGCGCAGCGTCCGGGTTCTCCCTATGGGAGCCGCGGCGCGGAGGCTCATGGGAAGCGGAGTCCGGCTGCAAAGGCGGCCCTTTTGAACAAGAAACGAGAGCTCGCGCCTGCGCCGCAGTACGCATGCGGGCTTCCAGCCCAATGAGCTCTGTTGCCCTCTGCAGATACTACAACTCCCGGCATGCCACGCCGGGTTTATAAAGGAAGGTTTTTCTTTCGAGCTTGGTGGGGATGGTAGTTTTTTCGGGCGGCCGGGAAGTCCTTGACCTGCCCACGGTGGCCCCCTGCTGGACCAGCTGGGAGGAAGGAGGTTGGCAAGCGGAGCATCCCGAGGAAGGACAGGTAAGGAGGCCTCAGGTGAGGCAGGCCCGGCCAGGTAGGCCTACGGAGGGGAGGGGCCACTTTTGGGGGGGAGGGGCTGAGGTTTGTCCCCAGAGGGCAAAAGGGACCCTTTGAAAGGAGGGCTTTAATAGGGTTATATGTGTGTTAATACTCCCACAGTTATTCAAAATATTAATATTATTAGCAATAATAGTACAATTTCTAAAGGGGAAACTGGGTTCTATCGGTTGGCACTGGGAGAAAAAAAGGCAGAGACTCTTGTGGGCTTCATAAAAGCTAGCAGTTTTATCGTTTCATATATTTTTTGGGGGGGCTTATCATCCTCCACTCCTTTCAGTGCATCTAGTGTTTGTTTGGGGTTTTAAACGGGTCGTTCTGCTCCGTTTTCTGTACATGTGTTTTTAGTTTTGATTTTATCAGCTGCTTTTAATATCATACTTGTTCAATTCGTTTTAAATATCTGTATCCTTACTGGTTTTAGCTTTTAAATGCTCTTTTAAGTAGTGGTAAGCTGCCTTGGGTCCTTTTAAAGAGAAAGGTGTGGTAACAATGTTTTAAATAAATAAATAAATAAAGTTTTTTTTTCACCTCATCTTTCTCCTTTAGAAGGACCCAAGGCCATTTCCATCACTAAACATAATGTTTGAAGCGGAAAAACAGTTAAGATACCATCGAAGGACCAAAGAAAGGCCACAGTGAAAGATGGCAAACCAAAGTGTTATCCATCCATTCACCTGTGAAGTGAATGGATAAGAAGCCAGTGGTTAGAGTTTGTCCCCACTCAGCCGCAAAAGTTACTGGGTGACTTTTGTTTAATTCCCAAACCTTGACCCTGAGTGGGTGGGTGTAAGTCACCTTGAGTGAGGTGCAAATGTAGTAAATCAAGTTACTCTCTTGTAACCATACACCGTTATGAGAAAGATTGGGGAAGGGCGCTGTTGTCTGTAGTTTTACTGTCTGTGTAACGTGGTGGTATGAAAATAATGCGTATAACAGGTTCTTATACCCAGTGGTTTGGAATCTAGAATGAGACCCAAGAAAACAACACAGGACAAACGAGGCAGCTGAGGCAAGGGTAAAAAGCTATATCATTATGTCAATTACATGTTTCTTTTCTTAGTTACAAAGGATGATAAAGTTTTCCCGATGTTACCAACAGACTAAAAACAAGACAGGAAATATAGAGAGAAATGGGAAATGGTGGATCAAGCTCCATATGCAGGGGCATGGTAGTGCGAAATTAGAAGATAAATTTGCAAAATAACCCCGTTTTATTAGGCCTGGGTTATGTGGTGGTGGTTGTGATTGCGTGCTTTCAAGTCACCTCTGACTTACGGCAACCCTATGAAGGAGCAATCTCCGAAAGATCCTGCCCTCAGCTGACCCACTTAGTTCTTGCAAATTCAAACCTGTGGCGTCGTTTAGAGAGTCTGTCCATCTCATATTTCGTCTTCCTCTTTTCCTGCCAACTTTCACCTTCCCCGGCATCATTGTATTTTCCAGAGAATCCTGCCTTAATAATATTTATATGAATAATAATATTGTTACTGACATTTATAAACTGCTAGAATTTGTGGATAACATTAGAATCATAAAAGAAGAAATACAGATTCTACTCTCAGCTCTGGAAAATCTGGTAGGAAAATAATGATGAGTAGAAATTCGGGAAAGGAAGAGAATAAAAGCAAATAAGTTACTGACTTGTGCGATAAACAGAAAACACAGTAGGAATTTTTTGGATGGAATAGTTGTCTGTATTATTAGAAAATTAAGAAATTGTTCCCAAATGGGGGAAATTAATTATACTTACAGAACACATTTATGAGGGCAAGAAGGCAAAAGGTAATTTTTAAAATTATTTTAGTGATTGATTTTTTTTATTGCATAAATCACCCAAAAAGGCTTCCGTAGTGGCTTACATGCACTCAAGAGGGTTCCTGCCTTAGGCTGATCATCCAGAAAGACGCAGCACGAAAGGAATAAGTGGTGGGGAGGGAGGAGGAGGAGGACAAAAACGTACTGCATTGTTTGCCCAGGTGTGCTGCTCTTTCTTGGAAGCCTCTGTTCTGCAACCTGCAGGTGCTCTTCTCAATTTGAGCAGGTGAGAAAAAAAAAACACACACACAATTAAGCAACTAACAACATTTCATTGGTTCACCAGCTGCCACTTGGGCATTAAATCCGTTTTGTGGTCGCCAGTCCAAACGCCTTCCCACCCACCTTCCACCGAAGGATAACTTGCATTTTCTTCCCTTTAAATAACCCATTGCCATGGCAACTCCTGGAAGTGCGTTGGTTAGCAGAAAGAACACGGACCTTCCCTGGGTGGCGGGGCATCCAAGGGTTGCCGAGGCAGGGATAATCTGTGTGTGAATTTTTGTGCAGGCGTGTGCGTGCGTGCAGAGAAAGCTACAGGTAGAAGATGCACCGTTCAGGCTGGCTCTGGCAAGCTGGAGCAAAAAAGAAGGATAATGATTCTCTGTATTGTGCAGGTATTGCTATAAAATGATGATTTTTTTAAAACCTGCAACGTGAGCTTCTGATATCGATTGATGTTCAAGGATAAAGCTTCCAGGTTGCATCTCCAATTGTTTTTTAAAGGGGAGTGGAGATCAAGTAGCAATTGAGGTTGGCGGGAGGAAAGACCCTTCTTTGCAGGAACCCTGACAATAATAATCTAGAGGGACCCACAATCTGACTCACGAGAGACACAACAACCCCATCCTATTAAATTTCCCTTGTGATTGTGCCCCGTTTGGTGCCTTCCTTGTTCCCTCCATGCACCAAGCATGCTAGCTGCAGCGGAGTTTCCAAAATCTAGAGGCATCAGCAGTTCAGCCCGGGAGAAGTTGTACGTGTGGGGTGGGGGGAAAGAACGATTTGAAAACTCAGCTGTTTTTATTTTAGCTGGGCTCACACCATCAAATCCTCCACCCGGAGGGTAGAGGCCCTGGTAAATCCGGACAAATCCTTCCTCCTAGCTTTCATTTTTCCTTCCTCCACTCTGAGGCCAATGCGTTTCTGTTGGAAGTTTAGCCACTGCAGTATCAACACCGTAGTGCATTCAGGCCCTGGGGGTTTGGCATAGTGGGGGTCGGAGTAGATCCCAGGAGAAAGCGTGATGCAAACATCAAGCAGCCTGCTGGCTTAGACGAGACATTCTCAGGTTGGTCCCTTCCTTTCCTGGCTGTTTATTTCTTATTGAGGTCTTACATTTATATCCTGCTTTTCCTGCTGCAAAACTCCTCCTTCTCCACCTTTCATTTTAGCTTCACAACCGCCCTGCGAGGTAGGCTAGTCCGATGGATTGAGCACCACCGTCCCGACGCCACTTTCTTAGCCGTCTATCTGGTGCAGCCGAAGGGTGGGGGACGGAGGAGAGACCAAAGAAAATCTTGTTTTGAAACGAGCCAACCTACTCTCAGGGAGAAGTCTTGTATAGCATTTAAAAGATAAACAGATTTTATTACCCCAACGAGGTTTCATACTTGGCAGCTTCCTTCCTCAAAGGCGTGGAATATATTTTTGGTATATAGCACTGCCTGTATCTTGTGCACGATCCATTTTCTGAAAAACATTGGGAAAGTCTTGTTTTCCCTCTCTTGAAGGCCCCAAGTGAACCACAGGGGGGGGGTCTACTCGGAGGGTGGTGGCCTGGAAGCGAGTAGATTGCTTTATTTATAGGACTTAACCTGTTTGTTTACAAGGACTCTTAGTTTGGCTCTCCAGAGGTTTGGAACATTGTCCCCCCCAGGACACCTTGCTGCTAAACCATGCTGGATGGGGCTGATGGGCATTGTAGTCCCAAAGCCCCAGGGGGGCAAGAAAAGTTCAGAAGGATGAGACGATTTTCCTTGAATAGCGGGTTCTCCTCTTTTGAATTAAGGAGGTAAAATCTGGGGAAAGTGTCTGTGTTTTTTCTTTTCTTTCTTTCTTTCTTTCTTTCTTTCTTTCTTTGTACAAGACAGGGCATGAGGGCAGTAGGTAGATGCCAAGGTTCCCAAAGCCTGGAAATGTTTATGTGTGTGTGTGTGTACATGTGTACGTGTGTACGTACTACAGGTCCCAAAATCCCCCAGCCCGATTAAGTGGTCCAAAAAAGCAAACTTCTCAGCAGCCAAAGGAGCTTTGCCTCCCCTTGGCTAAAACAGGAACATGGCCTGCGTCTCGCCCTCGTCTGATCACACACACCACCCGTCGTAATTACAGCCCTGTCCTGAGCCAAACGTAAGCCTTGTGGCTTCCCTTTTTTCTTTTCAAGTCTGTTCAGTTGGACGTGGTGATTAAAGTATTTGAGGAACTGGGCAGGCCAGTTCTCGTCCTCAGCAGAGATGCCTGAACCCACAGCTTAGTTTCTCTTCCCAGGAACCGGGCCGTGTCTTTAGGTAGGGACCCGGTGGTGTGGTGTGTTTTTTTTTATGACTTGCGTCTTGGTTCTTCCCATGTGTTGAATCAAGACGCCGGGACCTTCATGATCTGCGTGGAAGTGCGTGTTGAACTTGATGAGAGAGCAGCTCCCAGTTAGGCACTGACAAAACCTTCACCCTCCATGGACTCAGTCATTCAAAGCTGCTGGGTTTCCATGGAGTTTAATTGTTTTATTTTAGTGTTTAACTTCTGTTTTTAATTCTAATTATTTTAATATTGTCAGCTGCCTTGGGTCATATAAAACTATAAAACAAACAAGCAAACAAACTTGCTCTTTATCTCCAGTTGACCGACCCCCACACAGAAGCAAGCTATTTTACTTTTTGCAAACTCTTGCTGCAGGATTATTAAACACTGTTTTGCTTTGTAAGGGAGCCTTGCTTTCAATTGCAAAGCTGCCGTCTCAGCATGTTTGGCCCTCAGGTGCCCCTTCCTTATGCTTCTCTCAGTCTGGATCTGGTTCTCTTCAGGCTTTCTGACAGATGCAAGAAAGCTCATTGCCATCATTTGGCACTCTGAGCTTAGAGCTTCCAACTTCGCCGCTGTGCTAAGTCAACAAGTTAAGCCACGCACACAGGAGGGGAAAAAAAATAAAGAAAGAGGAACCGTCTTCCGCAGTGTTTCTAGTTTCACATCCATTTCTTTCTCAGAAACATCTCTTAATATTATTATTTTTCTCTTTCCCTCCCTGCTCTCCAGCTAAGTATTCTCTTCCTGTTTGGAAAGTATTAAAATGTTGTGTGGAAAAACATTTTGCATCCAAAAATACATTCTAAAAAAATACATACTTGGCATTCTTTTGCTTGAGAAGATGAAATTATTATTAATCTTATTTTCTCTTCCTGACTTTTTATCTGGGAAGTGTTGAGGAAATGTTTTTTTTTTTAATTTGCCATCCAGTGTGTGACATGGTTTCTGGGGTATTGCTAAGAATTCCAGTCTCTTTTGCTTTCGAGGGCATCTCTGCCTCCATAAGGACTAGAAACCTGAGGTGCCTTTTTAAAAAGATGGAGCTGCCGCTGAAGGGGAATTTAATGCCAGGTGCAATGTGACATTCTAAGCATAGTGATTTCTATATATTTGTATTCCAATTTCCTTCCCTTTTCCCTATGAGCAGCTGCGGGATAGGTTTACAGTATCTGGCTTCCGAACTTCTCTTCGCCTGCCACTTCATCCCAAAATCATACATCCCTTGTTCGGGTTTCTTTTGGACAGTACTTCAGGGGTGAGCTCTGATGTGTGAGCACTCACTGTGACCATCGTCGAGGCTCCCCCCCCAAGCAGAATGCAAGGTGCTGCGTTCATCTATATGAACAAACCAATTCTAGTGCTTTGCATCAGAGGAAAGTCTTTTGTAAAGCTAATGGCTCTGAATGACACCTTTAAGATCTGCTCCGCTACACCACAGTGTTGGGCTTGGTCTCTTGGAAAGAGCTGTGGATCGCTTCGGGTTCAAAGCTTTGGCCCCTGCAAGAGAGAGGAAGGAGGAAGAAAGAGATGCCGGATTTTGGTAGAAAGGGCTTTGGATTTTGGCGCAAAAGTCCACGGGGTGGAGGTCAGCGCTTTATGGCCAGCAATCCTGGGAGTCCGTCGGGATTCATGAGAAGGGAGGGACCCCTCTGGGTTGTTTATAGCCGTCCGCCGCATAATTGCACCCGGCTGCCTGATGTGAGAGCTGGTTCCAGGAGCGCAGGTCTGGAGAACATTATAATTTGAGCAAGAAAGAGAGACCGACAGACAATTCGGCTCCTTGCCTGGCAAACCAGGCAGAATCTCCTGTTTCCGGGGCTCTTAAGAGAAGCCAAGGGAAGGACGCAGCCAGGAGAGTTACTTTTAAATTAGTAATGCGTCCCCGTTATGCCTTCCAGCATTGGACAAGTAACGGTGCTTGGTGCGGTCCTGGGAAAAGCCATTTGTTGAATTTCCTTGTTGCTTTAAGAATAAGAAGAAAGTAGCTTTGTCTCTGCTGCTTATTTATGTGACTTTTGACATGTCCTTTCATTCCATTGCTGTTAGGGTTGAGCAGTTTCCTTTTTAAGGTAAGGCCTGAGTGGAGAAAGTATAATTGAGGGTAGTAACATTCTGCTTAGGCATGGCAGCTAATTAGAGCCTCTCCATGCAGGAGCAGTCTATGTTATTGGGTAATTGAATCCAAAATACTTAGCAGGCTGCCTGAAAACTGGAAATAGGATCTGGTGGCATCTCTCGGCACCAAGCTGTGTAGGGCTAGTTAAGTCCCCTTTAACTCATGGAAGGGGGTGGGTAGGAATGCCCTTCCAATTAAGAGCCCTCCAGCTCCCATCATCTCCCACCATTATTCACCCTGTCTAGAGCTCATGGGTGTTGCAGCCAAATAACAGTGGAGATCCCATCATCGTCGTTATTCTTACAACAACCTGGGTCCTTCTGCATCCAAACCTGACGTTCAGCTGCTGAACGATGGCAAGCAGGTTCCTAGTCCTCATGAGCCCAAAATAAAAAAAAAAGGTGGCTGCCAGTAGGAACGTAGGCAAGCAGTTTTACTCCAGAAGAGCCTGTTGCTACCTCCAGCTCAGCAGCGTTTGCACCCACCGGCGACCGCTCTCCAGAGTTGCGAGCAGGGTCTGTCTTCCTCCATCATCTCTGCCCATGGGTGCTGATGACACTGTCATCCACCCCCCCTTCTCCGGTGGAAGAGGAGAAGGAGGATGCTTCCCCTGCTTTGCAGAATTTGCCCAATTTCCCCCCGGACCAGGTAGGGGCTCCCTGATTGGTTGGACCCCTTTCCCCCCCACACACAGCCAGCTAGCAACAACCTCATGCCTGTTGTGTGTGCATGTGGATGTACGCTGGATATGTCCAAAGCAGGGTGGAGGGGAGAGAGTGGGGGGGATAAGAGATCTCTCTCTCTCTCCTCCTGCTTCCGCATGTGAATCATTTCTCAAGCAGCCGGTTGCTCTCTCTCTCTCTCTCTCTGTGGTTCTGCAATGTGGTTTTCCTTCTGAAAAGGAGAAGCCCCATCAGCCTTGCCTTCTCCGCCTGGCTCGCAGATGCCGCTGGAGGGTGACGGGAAGACGGCGCTCCGGTGGATGCAGAGCGCAGGGCAGCCCGGCCAGTGAGTGCTTCTTAAATCTCTCTCTCCTCTCTTCCCGCCCCCCCCCCGCCACCCCTCAAATGAAATGAAAATGTCATTCTTGGAAAAGAGGATGGAGAGCAAATAAGGAAGACCTTTCTCTCCCTCTTTTAGGATGCTGGAGATGGGTGGGTGTCCAGACGACCGGGTCGTTCAGAAGCTTAAAAAAAATGGGTCCTGGTGCAGGATTTGTGCATGTCTGTGTGCATGGATGTTGGCTGGAGGGGAAAATGAACCAGATCTGCTCCCCCCCCAAACAAGGTTTTGCCAAAAAGCAAAAACCTGCAGTAGGGATGGCTGAGCTTTCCTTATATCTCTCTCCCTGCTTCCTGCCCAGCCACCCAAGTCATTCCTCTGTCCTTCTGCGGGATGGTGGAAAAAAAAACCATCACTCGTGGGTCTCGGTGCAAACCCCCCCCCTTTTTTCTCCCTTCTCCCATGTCCTTGCATGCAAACGTGGGTTCCCCACCTGGATCGGATTGCTCCTTGGAGACAGGTTGTGGTTCGCTGAATTAACGGGTGTGCTGTGGATTCCCCCTTGCCCATAAACACACACACACACACTCAGATTGACTCACTGCAGGGTTTCCTTAGCGACAGAAAAGGACTGAAATTTTATTCTCCCTCTCTTTGTGCCCATCGTAAGAGGGGCTTGCTGGATTAGAACTGGAGGCACATCGAATGCAGTGTTTTCCTTCCAATATCACAGCCCACGTCCTTCTGCAGAGCCGGAACGCAAAGGCAGTTGCAG